TATTTTTTATTCCATAGTAAGGGCAATTCATACAATGCATTTAAACTGAGCTACTTTAATACCATCTCCGAACTTTCTACCACGACTCTGCTGTTCTTCGGCTGGTTCTTCCCTGTATACGTTGATTGACAGATGTCTCGTCCAGTCAGCGGTGAGTAATCCCAAACCAATGGCACTGTCTCAAACTATACCTACCTCTTTCGGTTTGTCTGATTTGTCGTTGTTTTTTCTGACTTGTAAATTTGTTTTCGGATTTGTCCTTGTGTTTTCTGACTTGTTATTTTGTTTTCGAATTTGTCATTGTGTTTTCTGACTTGTTATAATGTTTTCTGAATTGTTGTTGTGCTTTCTGAATTGTTATTTAGTTTTTTAGACTTGCATTTGCGTTTGTAATTTGTTATTTTGTTTTCAGAATTGTGATTTGCTTTGCACTTCTCGGTCACCGTAAAAGACAGAGCTCTGACAGTCTCTCCACCCTTAAGCCTCACGTCTAGAGCTAGAGCTCAAGGGGAAGTCTGTGACAGTCAGCCAATCAGAAATCACCGGAGGCATCAAAGCCAATTACAGCAGGGGTCACATGATCACAGTTGGCTGCATATGATTGGCATGGCCGCAGACAGTGAGTAGCTCATCCGTCAACTTCATGCAAACTTCTTAGATGTGACCTTCACATAATTCATAATGAGAACAGCACTTATAACCAAATTCACTTTTAACCTTTTAGTGGTTTAAAATTTCAAAAGTGAATAAAAGGATTAAAAATATATATTAAAAAATATTTTATCTCCTAAAACTAGAGGGAAAATAATAGTTGTAGGGGAACAGAAAGGTTAATACTAATATTACTAATTATAAAATTTGTTTAAAAAGTAATTATACAATTAATATAATAATGATTAAATGTATGTGTGTGTGTGTGTGTGTGTGTGTGTAGTCATACCGTAACTAGTCACAACTTGTTTTAACCCTTGTGGTAATTCTATCTTTATAAGTGTACAGAAACATATGAACATACACGTTTGTGTGTGCGCATTGTATTGTGTAGGCATACAAAGAATCATTTAAGCATTGTTGTGTGTGTATATAGCCTATAGATACAAACATACGTTTATGTGTGTACACACACTCACACACACACACACACACGCACGCACGCACGCAAGCACACACACACCCTTGTGTTAATTCAATCTTTACAGGCGAAGAAGTGACAATGCAGTGCAATACAACATAGGCTACATGCATGAAAACGCCTCATGTGGTCGACGCCTGTCACTATTATGCGCTGGCCCTTTAAATCTGACGCTCATTCATGCGTTCGGGGGCGGGGTTTGTGTTCGTGTGTCCAATCAGAGAGCGGAATGCTGATACTGGAGTGGATGCAGGACGTGGGACGCTGATGCTGATGCTGGGTAACCCGCACAGTGATGGAGCGGCGACGACGCTGAAAAGGTAACGAAACGTGATCTAACGACACACTGGCATCCATTCACCCCAGTTAGGTAGGGTTTATATTAAAGGATCGAAATGTAGGTCGGATTCATCGATTTGAGCTAATTATATTCTTTTTGAATGATGGAAAATGAGCTTAAATCCGCTGTAGTATGAACGAGATGAAGCGTCGCTCGATGCTGTTTCAAAAGTATTTGCTTCAGGATCAATGCATATTCAATTCTGGCTTGATATTCGTTAGTTTATCTTCACAAACGGTTGATATTTTCTGCATGGATGTTTCTGTATGCGGTCTAATGGTCTAAATCAGAATTATTCAATGTTAATGTTAGAAATGCCACTTAATAGTATTGAATAAACCTATCTTTTTTTTTATCTTAATTTAGGTGCATTGCATTTTCAAATGTAGATTGCGTTTGGTGGTTTTCTCATTGATTTCTTCTTATTTAGGAAAAAACATGGGCATGTATGACCTGTCAGCCTCTAGGAGTGATTTTTGGGGGATGATTGACACTGGTGAAAGCCAATCAGCAGACAGATGTTATCCGCACAGCCAGTGGCTGAAGGATGAGGGAGGGCTTTCACATGGGCTTCTGTCTGATCTTCAAAATATCGAAGAATTTATTGGTGTTTGAACTGTTTCTGGCAACCCTTGATTAAAACGGACAGTATGTGATATTTTGTCTCAATGTGACCCTACAGACATGTGGAAGCAATGGTTTTGTATAGTGTAAACAGTCACCATTGCTTTAAAATCCTTTTATTTGATATTTTATTAAGATATAATTTAGAAGAGAAACATCACCTTGATTTATACTTGAAAATTTGGGTCGAATTTAGTATGTAGTGAATAAACATTTTGTATAGATATGCACAGATCTGCAACATTAATTGACTAGAAATGTATCTTTGCATTTTTAAGGTTAAACGAATGAACTTTGGAGAAGCTGTGCTTTCAGCATCTGTTTTTTCTTTTATTACATATGCCAATCTGCTTCGATTTGTGATGATAGACTGCTAATAAGATATTTTACCAGGGTAAGGTCTGTGAAAAAAAGTATCCTTACAACAAATGATTGACTTGAGTTAAATTGAATTCTGGGTTTAAACAATGCACTGAACATAAATGTCTTGGTTAAGCCGCATTCCATGCAACAGATGTATCGCTTGGCCAGTTTCTCTTTTAACATGCATTATTGAAGTCTGGGTAATTTGCCCTTTGTGGCTCTATGCACACACTGTTTTCAGCGTCAGAGTGGGTGGCGGAGAGAGAGTCAGTGGCTCGTGATATGCACCCTGCCACCTTGATTAAGCCATTTATGCTGGAGAGCAGCTGGCTTCTATATATTACTGACCGAAAAAAGCTCTTTCTGTCATTAAGTTCTCATTCAGAAGTTTCTGTGCTGACATTAATCAGCTCAGTCTCTGTTAGCTACGTCCATTGAGACCAAAAGAAGCATTTGCTTGTTTAATTTATGCTGTTGGCAGATATTTTATCCAAAGTGACTTGTAGTGCATTCATGGTGTACATCTTATCACGTGTTCCGTGGAAATCAAACCCATGACCTTGGTGTTGGAACAGGAAATGAAGCTTCAGAATGTATAGTTTAATTAGTGGTGTTTCCTGAGGCAAACATTATTCGATAGCTCATGCCAAGATTTAGGAGTTTGAACTAACTTCTGGGCATAGCTCATCCAGTATGCAATCCAATAATACTGGAAACACTCTCATCATTTCTGGTTGCCGTTTTTTTTTACTGTAAATTTAACAGGATATTTCTTTACAGTGACTTATTGGAGAGTTCTTTTGACTCATACCAGTAAGCAACCACCCAGAAAACTGTGAGTTTTGCACATGCAAGCACCAGAAGATGTAAAAATCTTGGCATTCGGGTGAAGCCCTCCCCCGGTTTGTCCAGTATGGTGTGCTATATATGGTCTCTGTCCGGATGGAAAGATGAAGGCCGAACGTGTCCTGTCTCTGGCACGGAAGTGTACAGATGACCAGGCCATCTACAGACCGGCTTCATTTAAAGTCAGCATAAATGTACATTTCTCACTCTCTCTCTCCCTCACACGCCCGTGAATGCCCACACATCCTCACATTTCATACGAGTGAAAACAGGTGCACTCTCCTCCATCATCTCAGTCACTGTTGCCATAGCAACCCCCTCCACAGCATCAGCATCATCCCTGTGAGCAGCATGTGGTCCCCACCTCCGAGAAAAACTGCGGGGCACTTTTTATTTTGACTCATCTTTCTGATGAATAGAACCCACCTCAGGCAGAAATTTAAAGGGAGTTACGTTGTCTCTGAAATGAAAAGGGATGCAATGTCTCATTATGTTTCGCAACATCTCTCAGGAACTTAATACGTCTTTGCATTTTGATTAGCTCTAGGCTGTTGTGAATGAAAGCGAAGAATTGTTCCAGACAATAGTTGGCAGCACACAAGCCGCTTTGTTGCAGACATTTTGAAGTGTTCGACTGCATTTTGAAGTGTGCGACTTTTCTTCTCTTCTCTAGGATGCAGTAAACACCCTTGTCAATCCGTGAAGGGGCTTTTCTTACGGACTCTCAGTGTTACAGAACCTTGGGAGATGTATGGTAGCGCGCGCGCCGTCAGCCACATCGAGGGCAGCCCTGCTCGCTCCCCGCGGCTGCCCCGCTCTCCTCGGTTGGGCCACCGTCGAGCCAACAGTGGCAGTTCGAGCGGCAAGACCTTATCCATGGAGAACATCCAGTCCCTCAATGCTGCCTACGCAACATCTGGCCCAATGTACCTAAGTGACCATGAAGCCATCGGATCCACTGCTACTTACCCTAAAGGCACCATGACGCTCGGTCGGGCCACGAGTCGAGCAATGTACGGTGGTCGGGTCACGGCCATGGGCAGCACCCCTAATATCGCAACGGCGGGACTCCATCACGCCGACCTGCTGTCTTATGGCGACCTGGGCTCGCTGTCTATGCTCCACCACCAGGGGACACCATCGGCCCTGCTGCGACAGGCGGTCAGGGGCGGTGGAGGTGAACTTTTGGAGCTCCAGGCGCAGCTACTGGACATGCACAGGGAAAACGAGCTACTTCGGAGGGAGCTGGACCTTAAGGACAGCAAGCTGGGCTCTTCCACCAACAGCATCAAGAGCTTCTGGAGCCCCGAGCTGAAGAAAGAACGCGTGATGAGGAAAGAGGAGGCAGCGCGCACTTCAATCCTTAAAGAACAGATGCGGGTGACCCACGAGGAGAATCAGGTTAGGATGATTACCTTACCTTATACATGCAGAATGACAAGGATCTATGCTTGAGTAAAAATAAAGGTCCTTCAGAGGTTATTTGTAGAACTTCTTTCATTTAAGAATCTTGGCTACATGAGATACTGTATTGTTCTTTGGAGAAAAAGTTATTGATGTTACATTATACATTCTTCAAATCAGTATATTTGTCCTTGATATCATCCGTTCACTGAGGAAAAGCCCTCCCGGGCTTTGTTTGTAGCACCAGTACATTGATAACCTTCTAAGGAACTATAAAAATGAAGAAGGTTCTTTAATTATGTCAGGTTGTTCTGTAAAGCCCCTTTTGGAACCTTTATTTTTATTAAGAGTGAATTTTGCTAAGATGTATAAATAATAGATTAGGGCATTTATAGATAATTTATTGTCTACTTAGGGCTTTTGATAAGCTTAGCAAGTAGAGTTTGATGTACACTACTGTTCAAAAGTTTGGAGTCAGTAAGATTTGTTTTTGTTTTTTTGAAGAAAATTATATTTTTTATTCAGGGAAGACACATTACATTTATTTTTATTAAATTAAATCAATTCAATTTTTATTCTTTTTATTTTTATTTTTAAATAAAAAAGGCAGTAAAGACTGATGTTAGGTCAATTCTGTTCTTTGAATCCTAAGAAAAATGTATCACTGTTCCCCTAAAAAATATTAAAGAGCACAACTGTTTTCAACATTGATAATAAAAAGAAATATGTCTTTAGCACCAAATCAGCATATTAGAATGTTTTCTGAAAATTTGGCTTTTCTATCACAGAAATAAATTACATTTAAAATATAATAAAATAGAAAACAGTTATTTTAAATTGTATTAATATTTCAAAATGTTCCTGTTTTTACTGTATTTTTGATAAATTAAATGTAGCCTTGGTGAGCATAAGAGACTTTTTAAAAAGATGATTTCAATAACATAAAAAAAAAAAAAATCAAACAGACCTCAAACTTTTGAACAGTAGCGTATGTTATTACATATAAAAATGTTAACCCAAAAATAAAACTGTCAGTGTTTACACACCCTCATATTGGTCAAATCTGTATGATTTTTCTTTTGTCTGTGGAACATAAAAGTTGATGACACAAAATGTTTGAAAATGTGTTTTCTCAAAATTTACGAGCAGTGTGAACATTGTACAAAATAACTCCTTTTGTTCACGGCACACAGAAATTCATACAGCTTTGAAACGACTTGATGGTGAGTAAATTACAGAATTTAAATTTTGAGTGAACTTTCCCTTTAAGACTAGTTTATTAGCAGGCTATCAGTAAAAGTTGCCTACTTGAAGGGATATGCCTAGTTTATGAATTCTTGTGTTGCCAAGGTTACTCTTCCTGTCTCCAGTTTTGGTGACATCTGCTCTGTTCTGTGTCTCATTCAACTGTGTAATCACGCTCTCACTCTTTTTTTCCCCACCTACTCTCATGCTCTTTAAGTCTCTTCACAGCTGATTTCTTCTTTGGGTTGTCTGTCTTTTATGTGGCACTTCTGGAAAGAGGCTCTTATAATCATTAATATTTCATCATTTAATTGGATGTGGCACTCAGTCAATGGACAGGCCAAAGCCACAGATACTGAAACACATTTTAGACAGTTCTGACTGAAAATATAACTCGTTCAAAGCCACCATAGAATAGCTTGTATTTGCATACGTGTGACCGCACATGACATGAATTCTATATTTAACCTGCCAAGTTGCTATAGAGTGCAACAGTGCCTGCCCACTTTTTCAGCAGCCTTGGTTCTGTAGGTATTTTTTCCATTCATTTTTCCCATAGGGATTTTAAAACAGTCTTCATTACAAGAGTTAGAAGCATGAACCAAGCAAACCAGCTACGAGGTTAATTAAAGCACTACAAATTTTGATTTGAAGCCAAAAAGTATTTGAAAATGGAACAAAAAGACAAAGAATTTGTAATTACCGGCCTATAATAAGGGAAAGAATTTCGAATAGCATAATTGAATTACAAATGATGTAAAAATATAAAACAATTAATTTAAAGATGTCGAATATAGAGAGAGAAACACTGCATTTTATGTTTGTTTGTTTTTTGTTTGTTTTTTTGCAAAATATGCATATACTGTATACTTTATATACAGTATATTCAAACATTTAAGTAGTTTGAGAACTGCTTGACTTAAGTAGGTTGAGAAGTATATTGACTTGATTTTGTCATTTGCAGTGATTCATGGCAGTGAGTGGGTGCTAAAGAGTTTTCGTTTAGATTCTCTGATTGGTAAAGATTTCTTTGTAGAATCATGGGTAATGTAGTTTTTTACCCAGAGTTCTGCTTTTAAACATGACTATATAAAAATAAGTTGAAACAACATATATCATCGATTAACATCCCAGCTCACATTAGGTCTACATTTTTAAAAGTTTATAACTTATCCTTAAAACTATTTTTTTTTCTATAGAGAAAATAAATAGGATTTTTACTTAGAGGAACCCCATTGTTGTTGTTAGTCAAAAGAGTAGTCCATTTTACGCTCAAAAAATAATCAGGTACTGGTGAAACATCTTTATTACAACTAGATAACAGTTTAACGGGTTATATATATATATATGGTTAATTTTGAATGTTGATAGATGCTATGCTTGTTTCATGAGCGTTGCCAATGTAACGGAGGCCAGCGGTAGGTGCTATGCAGGTAAACCTCACTCCCCTGATCTCAAGAGACGCACTAGTGACTGATGCTAGAGGCTGCAGTCTTTAGCCTCTTTGTTAGTGCGTCTGCCTCCCATGCCGGAGACCCGGGTTTGAGACCCACTTGGAGCGAGAACGAGGTGTGGCAGTGAGGACCCGGGAGAGAGGGGTTACACCAATAAGGCCACCAAGTGAACTGACTCTTGCTAAAAGGGACTTTGGCATTGTGCTTTAGTGTATTAATTAAAGGCAGTTGGGTTTGATGAGAAATCCCTTAGGTGGGTTCAGTCCTATTTTGATGAAAGTAGCCAGAGAGTTGATATTAAGGGTATATTGTCTAGTCCTTTATCAATCAATTGTGGAGTTCCTCAAGGGAGTATTTTAGGTCCCTTATTTTTTTCTTTTATATATAAATTATTTTAAAGCAGCGTGTTCAGAGGAACTTTTTCTTAATGCTGATGATGCAGCAATTTTAGTGTTTCGTCAAGATAAAGGGGTCCTGGAGAAAGTGACAAGAGATGTCCAAATGGTTTTTAGACAATAAACTTTCTCTGCATATAGGTAAAATGGAAGCCATTCTCTTTGCTTCTAGAATGAAATTAAAAAAGGATGATACTCTTTTTGGTTAAGATTAACTATATGATAATAGAGTCAAAAAATGTAGTAAATTATTTGGGTTGTTTAATAGATAATAAATTAACAGGTGATTTTATGGCTAGATAGTTATTTACAAAAGAATGTGCTAAATTAGATTTTTAACAAGGCAAGCTGACTTATTGGATATTTATTCCTTAAAATTGTTGGCAGGGGCCCTGATTCAACCCCATTTTGATTATGCTACCACTTTCTGTTATAGTAGTTGTTCCCAGAGTATGAAAGATATATTGCAAAGGGCTCAAATCAAATGAGTCAGAATAATTGTAAAAGTTCATCCTCAAATGCATTTGTATATTGAATGTTTTAAGGAGTTGGGTTTGCTAACTGTGAAAAAAAGATTGTTTTTTTTTTAATTGGCTATGACGTGTAAAATTTTTAATATGGTTACAAGTTTTTTAGAAAATTACTTTCATATGGTGAGGCAACAGCATTCTTATGGTATTAGGGGTAGGAATTGTATTATTTGTCAAGTCAAGTCAAGTCACCTTTGAGGTGGCGTCCGTGGATGAGTCATGTTCCTATTGCGGGAAGATGACCATCTCGGAGCAGCGGACCAGGCTCCGTTATCTCCAGGGGAGCAGAGCTCTATTGCCTCTGCAAGTCAAGTCACCTTTATTTATATAGCGCTTTTAACAATACAGATTGTTGTCAAAGCAACTGTACAGCATTAATTAGGAAAATAGTGTGTCATTAATGCAAAATGACAATAGTAAGCACTCAATTTTCAGTCAAAGGCAGTTCATCATTGAATTCAGTGATGTCATCATCCAGCTCAGTTCAGTTTAAATAGGAATCAAGTAGACGATATCGCTGGAAATTAAGTGTCCCCAACTAAGCAATCCAGAGGCAATGGCGGCAAGGAACCAAAACTCCATCGGTGACAGAATGGAGAAAAAACCTTGGGAGAAACCAGGCTCAGTCGGGTGGCCAGTTATCCTCTGGCTAGACGAAATCTCATCTAGTTGTTCTGGTCTCCGCTGACATTCAGGGCTGTAGAGGTCCTCTCTAGGTGCTGATCCACCATCTGAGCTGGATACGGGCTGAATCCGGGTGACTGCAGTGACCATCTGATCTGATCTGGACTGGGTCTTTAATCTAGATTTAAACTGACAGAGTATGTCTGCCTCCTGAACAATGTTAGGTAGGTTATTCCAGAGTTAGGGAAAACTGCCCGCAGTTGATTTTGATATTCTAGGTATTATCAAATTGCCAGCATGAATTAGCGTTTCTGCATTTGACATTGAGAGCATAGGTCGTAATTTAGATATATTTCGATATATTTGTCCATGTAAGTGTAAAGTTTGGTAGGGGAAATATGTTTTTACACCAGTGCAATTGCATGGAGTAAATTACCAGTGTCAATAAAGGGAATAAAAAACTTAGGGAGATTTAAAAGAGCGGTAAAAAATTGGCTGTTTGGTGATGCTAGTTAGCTTGTACTGTGGGTGTAAATTGTTTCTAGTGTTTAAATATGAAATTGAAATGAAATAAAGATATTACTACTACTACTACTACTTATATTTTTAAAATTAGTATTTGGTTAGGAGATATTGTTTTTATTTCTTCTGTCACTTCTGTACATAGCCTCTATTCTTTATATTAACAGCGAGGACCGCAGTGGAAATAAGCCGGTGGCTTTATTGGGTTTTTTATCCTCGACAGTTTT